TCTTCCGGGAGTGAAACGAGAACCATGGAGATCTGAATGTTTAGCTCAACCTAAGGACAAACTCATCTGTCAACTTGAAGGGAGCCACATTCTTCCCCAGCATGACTCAACATGCAGATGCTATGTGCATCAATGTACTATGGACTCAACATGCAGACACTGTGCATCAATGTAGATTTATATACAGATGCTGAGTATCAATGCTTTTGGAGTCTTATAATGTACAGATGCACTGCATCAATGCTTGGAGTCTATGTTCCTCTAAGTCTTTCCAGACTGAGAAACATTCTGGCTCTCAACATGGTTGAAATGAAGTTCAATAGGAATCAGACTCTCAGGTAAAAATTCAACCGCAAATCAAACTTTAGGGGAAAATTCAACCTCAAATCTTCATTTTACTGATGGGTAAAAAGCTTACATCTAGGGAAGTGGTGTGATTTATCTAGTCTATGGGAGTAACCCATGTTTACTATCTCTACTCAGTGGTCTTTTGTGACATGCTTTATCTTAATGAGAAGCTCAGGGTTCAAGCAACTATGAAGTTGATAGGTAGTTTTTTTTTTTTTTTGGTGTTTAGAGTAATGCCTGGTCCTTAAAGCATTTAATGAATATTTTTGGTGAATTAAATATTTAGTCTTGCATCTCCCAAGTTATTTAGTTCACATGCCAACCACCAGAGCTAGTGTTCTGTGGAACTCACTTTAGGAAAAAAGTGCTTGAAACCCTCACACCTCTGCCCATTTTTGCTTCTGGAAGTTTCTCTAAAGCTACATCAGCCCCTAACTTTGAATTTCAGGGAATCAGACTGCTCTCATTTCTAATCCCATCTAGGCTCTGAAGCATTTTTATTTTTCAACTTTAAAAAATTTTCTCTACTATATTACAAACACAAGAGCTCTGGTAGCATAGTGCCTAAGGCACTTGACTCCTAACCAGAAGGCTGGCAGTTCAAACCCACCAGCCACTCCTCGGAAGGAAGACTGGGCAATCTACTTCTGTAGTGATACTGCCTCGGAAACCCAAGGAGGGGTCACTATGAGTCAGGTCCGACTTGACGGCACATGACAACAACAACAACAACATTACAAACACACACAAAATTCACAAAACTAGTTGTACAATTTAATACCAAAACCAAACCAAACCCAGTGCTACAGAGTCAATTCTGACCCATAGTGTCCCTAGAGGACAGAATAGAACTACCCCATAGGGCTTCCAAGGCTGTAAATCTTTACAGAAGCAGACTGCCTCATCTTTCTCCTGGAGGAGTGGCTGGTGGGCTCAAACTGCAGACCTTTTGGTTAGCAGCCCAGTGCTTTAGCCACAGTCCTAGCAGAGCTCCTTATAATTTATAAGCTGTAATAAAATAAACTCCTGTGTTACCACCACTCAAGTCAAGAGAAAATCATTGTCAGCCCCCTGTGACTCCCTCCCATCACAACTCCCCCTTCTGCTTGGAAGCCACTGTCTCAGTTCTCTAGTGCTACTATAACAGAAATAGCCTAAGTGGGTACCTTTAATAAGCAGAAATTTATGTCCTCACAGTTTAGGAAGCTGGAAGTCCAAATTCAGGGTGCTGGCTCTAAGAGAAGGCTTACTCTCTCTTTCAGCTCTGGAGAAAAGTCCTTATCTATTCTGAGCTTCTGTTCCTGGGCGATCTTTTATTTGTTTATCTATTTATTTAT